GGTTTGAACCCACCACCTCTGGTATATGGGGCCAGTGCCCTACTCCTTTGAGCCACAGGTGCTGCCCTTTTCTGATTTCTTTATATTGATTTTTAGATTTCTCTTGTATCTCACTGAGCTTCTTTAGAATCAATGTTTGGACTTCTTTTTCTGGCATTACAATAAAGAATTGTTTTTGATTAGAATCTCTTGCTGAACAATTGTCATGGTCCTTTGGTGATGTCATAGTTCCTTGGTTTTTCACATTTCCTACATGCTTCCATTGATATCCTGCACATGTGATACAGCAGTTGCTTGTTCCAAAATGTTTTAATTGTTTTTGATTGGGAGAATTTTTTTTCCTGAATATATGTGTATTTCATTGGTTGAGTAGGACATTTTGGCTTTGATTTTGGCTACCTATGGTAGTAAGATCTTTGTATGATTTCTTAGGCAGCACACAGGCTTAGTGGTAGCTATTATTTCCTTGTTGGCTTAGGGAACAGTTGTTAGTTAAGGCTGTGGTAAAGTTTTGGTGGGGATTTGAACACTAGCAAACCTGGTCTTTTAGGCTCAGACTAAAATTATATACAAATGGCCAAGAGATATATGAAAAGATGCTCAGCATCACTAATCATTAGGGAAATACAAATCTAAATCATAATGAGGATATCATTTCACACCTGTTAGGATGGCTATTACCAAAAAGTGAAAAGATAACAAGTGTTGGCAAGGAGATGAAGAAATTAGAACCCTTTTATCCTATTGCCGGGAATGTTAAATGGTGTAACCACTTTTGAAAACAGTGTGGAGGTTACTCAAAAATGACAAGAATATATATCATATGATCCTCCAATCCCACTAGTAGATATCTGTCCAAAAGAATTGAAATCAGCATTTCAGGGCAGTATTTACACTCCCATGTTCACTGTCATGTTATTAATGATAGTCAAGATGTGAAACAACCTACATGTCATATCACAGATGAATAGATAAAGAAAACAATGATATACAGTCATACCTCAGAGACATTGTAGGCTCAATTCCAGATCACAAATAGAGCAAATATTACATGTAGTCTATTCATATATATTAATATACAATAAAATTATATTTAAAAAGCCCTGTATACACACTTTAATTTAAAAATACTATACTACTAAAAAATTAATGATCATCTGAGCATCAGTGAGTCATAATTCTTTTGCCAATGGGTAGTCTTGCCTTGATGTTGATAGCCACTGACTGATGGTTGATGAAGGTTGGTGTGGCTGTGATGATTTCTTAAGATATAAATAAAAGCCTGTTATTTGATGCCAGGAGTTCAAGACCAGCCTGAGCAACATAGCAGGACCCCATCTGTACAATAAATTTTAAAAATTAGCTGGGCCTGGTAGCATACACTCATAGTCCTAGCTACTCTGGAGGCTGAGGTGGGAAGACCTCTTGGGCCCAAGAATTTGAAGCTACGATGAGCTATGATAATACCACTGCACTCCAGCCTCAGTAACAGAGTGAGACCTGATCTGTTAAAAAAAAATTACAGTGAAATTTGCCACACTGGGTGACTCTACCTTTCACAAAAGATTTCTCTGTAGCATATGATGCCATTTGACAGCATTTTTACCCATAGAATTGCTTTCAAAATTGGAGTCAATCCTCTCAAATCCTGCTGCTGCTTTATCAACTAAATTTATATAATATTCTAAATCTTTTGCTGTCATTTCAAATATGTTCACAGCATCTTCACCACAAGCAGTTTCCATATCAAGAAACCACTTCTTTGATCATCCATAAGTAAGAAACTCCTCATCCATTCAAGTTTTACCATTCAGTCACATCTTCAGGTTCCACTTCTAATTATAGTTCTCTCACTATCCCCACCACATCTTTACTTTCTCCACTGAAGTCTTGAACACATCTCAAAGTCATACATGAAAGTTGGAATCGCTTTCTTCCAAATTCTTGTTCATGTCACTATTTTGCGCCCCCCCCCCCACAAATCAGAAATGTTCTTAATAGCATTTAGAATGGTGAATCCTATCCAGAATGTTTTTAATTTACTTTGCCCATATCCATCAGAGGAATAACTATCTATGGCAGCTAAAACTTTATGAAATGTACTTGTTAAGATAAGAGGACTTGAAATTTGAAAATACTCCTTGATATATGGGCTGCAGAATGGATGTTGTGTTAGCAAGCATGAAGACAACATTAACCTCTTTGTACATCACCATCAGAGCTCTTGGGTGACCAGATGCATTGTCAATAAGCAAGATTATTTGAAAGAAGTCTTTTTTGTTTGAGCAGTAAGTCTCAACAGTAAGCTTAAAATATTCATTAAATGATGCTATAAATAGATGTTCTGTCATCCAGGCTTTGTTGTTCCATTTATAGAGCACAGACAGAATAGATCTGACATAAATGTTAAGGGCTCTAGGATTTTCAGAATGGTAAATGAGCATTGACTTCAACTTAAAACTACCAGCTGCATTAGCGCCTAACAAGAGAGTTAGCCTGTCCTTTAAAGCTCTGAAACCCACCATTGACTTCTCTTTAGCTATAAAAGTTCTAGATGGCATCTTTTTCCATTATAAGGTCATTTCATCTACACAAAATATCTGTTGTTTAGTGTAGCCACCTTTGTTAATTATCATAGTTATATCTTC